TACCGCCCCGCCCACCGCCCTTCAACCCCGCCCATTACCGGTTAGCCCCGCCCATCGGCCGGTAGCTCTGTACATCATGCCCGCCTAGGCGAGCCCACCAGGTGTCTGAGGACCGGAGTGCTCTCTCATCAGGATGCAGGGACAATCTCTATTTTTTTGGGGCCGTCATTTCCCCACTATGGCCAACAAAGTGCAAAGCTGAGGCAGGCTCAGTGTGCGCTTCCCTCGAGGCCTGAAGCTAAAAGAGCACTTGGGTCTTTGAGGACTGGGACACCCAAGGATTCTGGTGATATCACTGCTAGCACAAGACGCCTGTGTTTTGTGACCCACCCCCTACCCCCAGCCTCCTCTGGCAAAGATTCTCAGATTTTGAGTGTGGAGCTGTGCCCTTTCCACAGCCTTGGGTCCCTTTGGTTTTTGGGGGGCCCTACACCATAACCCAGACCAGCCACCCTCAGAATCCACTGCCTGGAAAAAGAAAGCCCAGAAATGCAAAGTCCCTCAAGCTCGGTGACCTTCACTCCTTCCTTTTACTCTCCTAGCATCTATCTAAACCCAAACCCTTGGGACCCAACACTCTCAGGGTGTAGGACTGGGTTCCTGATTCCCTCTTGCCTTCTACATCTTCAAAAGGGCTCCAGGAGCTTGGTCACCAGTCTGATCAAAGGACTGTCTTCTTCAGTTAGCTTTGTGCCAAAAGAAATCTCATAAAAGTAATACTGGATTCTATAGACTTAAATCTCCTAGTATAACACTCACAGACATAAACACACCCATGGACTAACTTCTTGGGGATATTTTTGGGTAACCTTACAAACCCTGCACCACTAGGGGAAAGCTGGTGTCCAAGATCCTCAAATGTGTGATCTTCACATGACCCATTATGGGTAATAAATGTCCAGCCAATCATTAGAAACACTTTACTTCTGACTCCAGCTTGCACTGAAAGATCCTGTGTTTCTGACTTAGAGGCAGAGGAACAAGGTTTTCCAGACTTCTTACTTCCATTTATCCTCTGTAGAAATCTGCCTGGGAGTCTACATGCATTGTTCACTGAAGAAGAGACTTAAGGCTGCCCTTTTATAGTTGTCCAGTACCTAGCATAAAACAAACTTCTAGAGTGAATAGACGAGGTATAGTGTGCCATTTTTGCTTGTAGCAAAATCCAGAATAAGCTGGGCATGATGGCACACACCTTTAGTCCCACCACCCTGGAGGCAGAGGCAGACAGATTTCAGTGGGATCAAGCCAGCCTGGTCTCCATAGTGAGTTCCAGGCAGGCTGGGGCTAGGGGAGACCCTGTCAAACAAAACAAAACAAAACAAAACAAAAAAACCTAGAATAAGAGAGGGGAGAAATCATTATCTGAAGATGCATTTTGAAAAGTGCATGAGTTCAGTTTATGAGAAATTAGAGATCTAAAGACAGATTTTTGTCTATCCTCCAAAGGGAAGATTCATTCCAGGGTCTAAAGAGGGTGAAATTATGTAGTTATTCATTATGTTAGAGTTAGGAGACTAGAAATTTGTTCAAATTTTACAATATATGAATATTGTTTCAAATCCAAGCATATTATTAATTTGTAAAATAACATTTTATCTGGTACTCACTGGAGTCCTTTATACCCTCATTTCATGATTCTTGATCTAGGACACTTTGCACAATGTACTGAGGCTGCTTTGGAAAGCTATGGAATTCAGGCTTTAACAGTGGCAGCTCAGGTTTTACACATTCTGTTAGGGTTACACATAGGACTTGTGTTGTTTCATTTTCCAAATGGTTAGGGCTCCAATTCATAATAGTAAACGGAAAAACACTGACTGTCCTGGAAACTGAAGAGGGCGCTACCTGGTGTGAATTTCTTGCAATCTGAGAAGTTTCCATGGTACCTGGAGCATTCCTTCTGAAATATACTCCAAAATGAACATAGCCAGTGTCTCCTTAAACTACTAAAAATTCTAAGTTCACAGAAATATTGCAAGCATAATGAACAGTGAGGATGGTTGGGAAGTCATGGCCTTGGAAGCTGGAGGCAGCTGGTCACTTTGCATCTACAGCCAGGAAGCAGGAGAAATGAACCCTGGTGTTCAATGTTGTTTCTCCTTGTTACCTATTCAGGACTCTAGCCGGTAGATTGGTACCACCCACACTCATGGTAGGTCTTCCCACCTCAGTTAAGCCAGTCTAGAAACACTAACATGCCCAGAAGTTTGTCTTCTAGGTGATTCTATATCCTGTCAAGATAACAATTAGTATTAACCATCACATAGGGTCACTTCATTGTTAGGAAACAGAAAACAGAATGAGTCAGAGTCTTGGTCCCAGTGTCTGAATCAGAAGTATACTGCCAGTGGCCTAACTCTGACTAGGCCTGTTACTAAAGGCTAAGACTGCCTTGGCTAGCACCACCCTGGTGACCATGCCTTTAACACACGAGCCTTTGGGAGACACTCAGTACTCAAATTGTAACCCTATCCCTATACATGAAGTTTACTCATCAAAATCATGTAATTTTCATTAATACAGCAAAGGCTGATTCAAATTACATAGATCCTCCCATGACAGCTTTCTATGCCACACTAACTCCCTTTGCTTCTTTTGCATTCTCTGGCTCCAGGTCCAGCTCAGGTCCTGTGCGGCCATGGCTGCTGTACCAAGAAGTGCTTCTGTCTCGACTTGATATGTTGAGTTTGTGTGAACTCTCTTCCCAGCTTGATTTATTTATACATTTGCCAGGAATATCACAACCCATCATACCAGGAGACATGATGCTAATCTCTCCTAATTCTGCTGACCTTAACTCCAGATTTGTTCACTATAAAATTAAGTAATACATACCAAAAATACCAAGTAGTAATTTGCTGACCAAACCCACAATAAGTGGTGACCATAATGAATTTGGCTGCCCATTTCTGAAGTATAATACCTTGAAACCACAAGTACAAGTAACTGTCTGATACAGTACAGTATCTATGACTCAGGAGCTCAGAGTTATTGGCGAGTATAGGACTGGACTCAGGTAGCTACTGAGATTGTAGGGGGATATAGCTGAGGCAATAGTCATAGGAGGTTGGCTAAGCAGCCAGGGCATTGCCAATGCGCGCCATCACACTAGCAGGTAGCCCTGGAACAATGCTCAGGTTTCAGTCTCTCTCCTCCAGGTTCCTGCCAAAGAATGCCAAGCGATAAGAGGTGACCTTGACATATTGTGTAACTAGCTTCAGAAAGTGCTCATTATGCCACATAGATAGGGAAATTATGGGCTATGCTAGGATACCCCTCAGTCACTGAGTTAAGACACAGGGACGTGAGCACCTGCAGGGTGGATCTCATTATGGAGGCTGCCACACATTCAGTAGGTGGACAGGTGAGGTGACCATTAACGATCCTTGCCTTGATGATTGCCAAATAACAATTTTATAATTTCATCTTGGGGGAAATGTGCACTAGGGATATAAACTAGGGCTTATGCCTGCTAAACAAACACAGCACCAGTGAACTGCACCCCTCCCTGTAATCTAACTTTCTACATACAATACCTGGCATATCATACTAAGTTATTCATTCATTCAGTTATATCAATAAGAGCATGGGTTTCTTTTCATCAATGAGTTATAGTCCATTACAACTTTGATGCTCAAATTGAGCCTAACTTGGCCAGTGTGGGCCCTTGTCCTGTACATGCTCCCATACTTCCTAACCTTCTACTCCAGGATCATCCTATGGTTTCCCACTCTATCCCCAGGTTCAGGCTTCTCTCCAAGGACTCTGATTACTCTTTGTGAGGGGTATTTAGAAACTGAAATACACATGTTAAATGGCTTATGGCTCCTGGAGACCTGACATCTAGCTCTTCCCAGCAGATAGAGCTATGGAACAATTTATATTTGATGCATATAAACGCACCTGTCAAGGGGGTGTGTAGACTATTATCTTTCATTTTCAGTCTGCAGAGCTGTTTGTCTACCTGCTCCTCCTTAGCTCCTTTTCTGTCATTGGCTGTTCTACTCTGTTTGTGTTTGTTCATTCATTTATTTGTGTTTGCAGTACTATGGATTGAACCTAAGGCCTTGCTTGTGCTAAGCAAGTACTCTACCACTGAGCTACAACCCAGTCCCACCCTTTGTGCTATTTTCTAATTTTTCCCTTCCATTCATATTTCTAAACTCTCAAGAAGGTGGACCATATGCAGAGCCTCAACCTCTTCTATCTTCATATGACTAGACAACATAGTCAGAGCCATCCTGTCCTCAACCTCCCTGGCTGTGCCATCCCAGGAGCACCTAGGCATGGGCTCTTACAGGACTCCACCTCCTCCATTTCTAGAGGTGGAGGTCCCCTCTAGAGCTTCATCAGGTCTGTGGTGGGCTCAAAGCAGAGCTCTTCCCATACTTCTCCTGACCCATAAATCCTCTCACACTGATGTCCAACCTGTGTGACCTGTGGTGACATCCTTTGTTCTGGGAGCTATGTCAACCTCTGTCCCTGGTCCAAGAATCCCTTTCTTTCTTGTCTTAAACAGATTTATGGGGCCTCTAAATCATGTAAAAATTAATGTAGCTCCAATTTGCAGTTTTATTGATCAATTCAAAAGCAGTTTGGCTTTTTGCTCATCAATTTTATTATTTCCTTCCAGTTTTTACAGGTTTCATCTGTTATTTACATTTATTATTAATGTATCATATTAATACATTATCGGTTTTTTGGGCAGGACCCTCAACACTCATTTTAACCCTTATGTTTTAATAAAACATCCATGCATACTGTATCTTCTTCCAAGCATAGTTTTGGTATTTTTTGTAATTTTACATTAAAAATTTTACATTGTTCATTATAAGTGTTCATACACTTATAATTTAACTAGCATTTCATAGTTCTGATATGTCAAATTTATGGTGACACAAT